TATATATCTATATATATATCTATATATATATATATCTATATATATCTATATATATATATATCTATATCTATATATCTATATATATCTATCTATATATATATCTATATCTATATATCTATATCTATATCTATCTATATCTATATCTATATCTATATATATCTATATCTATATATATATATATCTATATCTATCTATATCTATATCTATATCTATATCTATATATATATCACTAGACCAAAATAGTTTTCATCCGAGCACCTGCTCCTTTTATGTCAAATGTGTGTGTACATGTGTGCATTGGTATGACGGTGTGTGCGCATGCAGGAATGTTGGCATGCGAGTGTGCTGTTACATTTGCGTATTACATTCCCGCAACATGTCATGTTCCTTCCATCCGCTGTATCTCGTCGTGTGTGTGTGTGCGCATTTTTTTAGTCTTTTTATATAACTTTGTGAGTGTGTGCATGCCTGTATATGTTTGTGTGTAGTCCATCCAGGTGTTTTAAGAGTCCACGTGTGAACCAGCTTTGCTTCAGGCTGCTGAGAGCCCTCACCTTTACTACTGATTAATAACACGGTTCCCACGCTTTATAAACTTTGAAGCCTTCAGTCCACATCAGTGGGATCCTGTTGATAACAGTCATTACCCTGGCGTCTTATCTGATGTCACTTTGACTTGGCTGGAATACGACTCTGCGGCGGACCCAGCCGGTATCCGTGGTTTGACTTGTGTAATGCACTGTATTTTACCCGTCAAACTGCTTTATGGGGTCAAAAGTGAATGGCGCGTGGTTTGACTGACGCAGTCACTAATAGATGTGAAACTGCTTTGCATGTTCAGAACCAGCTCTGTTTGGTTTTTATTTAAATTTTATTTTATTTATCTGAAAGTAGGGTTCTGGGAAGCTCGTTCTGTGCTGGTGGTCTCTAGTCTGTTACAACTAAAATAAGTTGGAGTCTAGTAGCCTTAACACAAAAAACAAGTTTTGAGTCTTCATTGATATGCAACCTTTCTTCTGCAAGAAACCCACCTGAGGTCTGCGTGATTTCTCATATTTCAAATTTCTGTCGAGTTGAAATTGGGATTTACTTATGACAGCCGTTCACATTCAACTAGTTGGACTAACGGATCCATTACGATTCATAAAACTAACCCTCTCCTTTTTTTCCTGTCCCAGATGACCTGACCTCCTCCATCATGGCGGCGAGACCTTCCATGGCGCTGGCCCTGGGCCACCATCAGGTCGCGGGCTTGGCAAGGGCCGCCACTCTGGAGCAGCTCAGAGAAAAGCTGGAGACCGGCGGCGGAGGAGAGGGGCCAGAGAGGAAGATGGCCCGCCTGGCGGAGGAGCAGCAGCGCCTGATGCAGCAGGCTTTCCAACACAACCTGCTGGCCATGGCTTCCCAAATGCCCATGAACATGCGCCTGGGAGCCCCCACCATCACCACCCGAGGTCAGTGCTGCCAAGTCTGTCAGAAATACTGTTAAAAGAACCCGGAAATGATGCAAGTCTGTCAGTGTGTTTCCATTGAGTCAAAAGAGGAACTTATTATTCAGCAAGTAGCACTTAATGATTTTGTTCCAACTATGTCAAAGTATGTAAATTCTATACAGATAATGCAAATAAAATGCAAAATAATTGATTGCATGAGTATTCAGCCTGTGGAAATCAGCATTTAGTTGATTTCAAATTGGTCCCGTGAATACACTAAAAAAATATTTCTGTCTCTTCAGATGAGAAGCAGCAGGACATGTCTCTGAGCATCTCAACCAATGGAAATGCCAGCATCACTGTCTCAGTGGAAGTCAATGGCACCATCTACTCGGGTTTGTTTAGGATTCATTAAATATTACAGATCATCAAAAGTAATAATGTGGTACCTCCTTTACTTCCCCCTTGTAGTGCTAAAGCTACCATGTTCATGTTATGATGTCTCCCATTTTCTTACAGGAACCCTGTTTGCCCAGAAGTCTGGTGGGGCCCCGGGGCCTGCTGTGTCGGCTGCTGCTTCAGCCTCCCCTGCTGGAGCCAGCACTAGCTATGGCTTCTCTGCACCCCTGGCTCAGACCCTCAGCCCCACGTCCTCCTCCTCCTCCAAGGGCCCCGGCTCTGCCGAGCCAGCCCCCAGCGGGTCACCCTAACTCGGGGCCGCCCTTTGTAGCTGCTCCCCCAGGCCTCTCTTCCACCGGGAGGCCCGGCAAGAAATATACAGTACAATGAGAAACAGATAAGAATAACAAACTGTTGCACAACAAATACCTCATCAACCTTGTCAACCTCTTGGCTGTCCAATCATGAACACAGAGCCCAAGAATCTTCTATGACAGCACGTGCTCAAACGCACAGCTATGCATTTTACTCGACACACATACACGCACTACACTACAAACACACACGATTCTACACACACGCACACAATCTACACACACACGTGTTAATCCTAATGTACATGCTAAACACAATCAGCTCAGCCAAAACCCACTGACAGGTGTAGTCACAACTGAACTTGAAAAGTTTTATCTTAGGACATTTTGTTTGTTTGTTTGCCATTTTGTCGTCTTTTTTTTTTTTTTTGGATTTTGTGTTTTTAGGATGATTTTCGTTTTTCTCTTTTTACATACCTCAAATCATGTAACCTGCAGTGGTGTCTTTACCTCAGGAGCTGTAGTATATTTAACCTGAATCAACTTTATTTTTATATTCTTTTTTTTTTTTTTTTTTTTTTTTTTTTTGACAAAGTTGCAATCAGGGGAAGTCGGGTAACTCACCAGTGGAACCTCACGTACAGAGCACCCCCCTCACAGTGGCAGGCCTCCCAACCCGGGCCACTCGGCTTTCTCCAACACACTGTAGGCTCGGCTCGAACTGGTGAACGATCGGATGCTGTGGATCAGCACGTAACGTACCTAATTTCAGAACTCCGCCCTCAGTTCAGACCATGTCGAGTCCATTATATAGGTTGGAAGGTTTATTATGTACACAAACCTCCCAGTGTGGACTGTAAACTCTCTCACTAGCAATGCACAGGAATTTGATGTCCATCCACAAAGTTAGGGGGAACAGCAACTCGAATCCACCCACAGCAGGCCGAGCAGACCCTGAGCTCGATCCTCCACCGGGCTCCTGTCTATGTTACTGAGAGGTAGTTCAGAATCAGGTGTGAGCTTGTTGCCCCCCCCCCACACACACATTTTTGTGCATCCTTCCTCCAGCCGCGGAGCTGAATGTCGATCCGACGTCGGCAGCGTCAATGCATCGTTTCTCAGGCGTCACGGCGGCCTCTCTGCTCTGGAGGGTGTCTCTCTCAGGAAGCAACGTGACAACTGCACGGAATCGCTGTTGATTATACAGGAAAAGAAGGGATTGGAAACCTGAAGAATGCACAGGTCTACACGACTGTTCGAGAATACCTCATCAGACTCTCCCAAAGGAGAGCTACACTACATACCTCATACGGCTGCAAAGCCATCATGACTTGACGCCACAACCTCCCGTGATGGAAATCATACCGGACCTGAAACGTGAACATACTGACACACTGCTGGTGGTTTCTGGGGACAAACGGAACTGGGATGGGGCTTGCTATCTCGCTCTCCTCCTGTGTTCACTTGTATAACTTGTTTTATGCTTGCTTCAGTTTCTTTCTTTTTTTTGTTTTGGTTCTTCAAGTTGTCTGAGAAGAGTGATATATATCTGCATTTTGTTTTTGTTTTTTTCAAGGGAGAGGAGAAGAATAGTTGGTTCCTCGCAGTCACGTGTAGATTTGTAGGATTGTCGACAGGTTTCGAGGTCGCAGTGGGTCAAAGCATAAACAAACAAATCGACCATGTTAACCTTAAACTTGACTGCAAACTCCTGAATCGCAGTCAACGCATCTTTTTGTTTTTCCCATGACAGCGGCGAAATGATATGCATGTGTACAATCATGTGACCAGCATTTTAACACCCTAATCTTGTGGTTCAGGTAAGCCTCTGGTTATTGCACAGCTAGATACCAAAGACTAGCCAGGTCGCTCCTCTTGATTGATCCCTTGTACAATCTTGCCTGCTGTGGTGCACAGCCAGGCAGCTTAAGGTCTGTTTTGGGCTGCAAAAAAAAAAAAAAAACCCCATCGAATCTCATTTAATCTGATGTTGAGTTTTTTTTTTTTCTCCCGAAAGCAAGTGAAATTATCTTTAGGTGAGGTGAGGTAAATACCCATGTTTCACATTTTACGGCATGACTCAACAGTGGAAATAAGTACATTTATAACTAGATTCAAAGACTCAAAATCTGATCACATGACATGTACAGACATTTTTTGTGAGCAGATATTAAAGCCCAGATGCTGTGGCTTTCCTGCGCGGTCTCCCTCATTTAATCCTTCACATTTATGGGCTTCTAGGGGATCTTTTTTTTTTTTGTAACACAACACCCGGAGTGGACGCGTGCCCTCTCAGCCAGTGCCCACAGAGGCCCACGAGTCTGGCCCCTTTAATAAAACAGACACTTTCTGATAATCCAGTAATGGTTGAATTATCCCTCCAATTGTACGGCATTTTTCTCCCTTTTCAAGTACATTTTTAAGCATTTTCAAATGCCACAAAGGATGACAATGAAATTTTCTAGCTTTGATGTGAGGCATTTTATCTGTTCAGAAACCTCTTTAAGCCCAATGTGAAGCGAGGTGGGCAGCCTTGTTGCTTTTACTAGACTGTATTTTAGCCATTACGTGTCAGCTTTTGCAGATGTTTTGCAGTGCAGATCTCAGTTTTGGGACTTTGAGGGCGGTGCAGGAAGCCCTTTTTTTGGTGAACCCTTCAGAACCCTGCATGACGCATAACTGTATTTTATTAGAGAAGGTGAGATTTGTAGACGCTGCCTTAAAGTAGTTGCTGGTGAGAGATCCCGGAGCAGTTTTCTCTACTCAACTGGCCGGAAAATGTCTTTCTCTCCGAGCTTAATCCTTTGGAGAGTAATCACTTTTTTATTTTGGCGAACACTTCAATCAGATGTTAAGACACCAGTTGTCATTCATGCTGTTAGTAACAACTGAGTTTGGCTATTTATTTGTGTGTGTTTTCATCCTGGTGGACCTTGTTTTCAGTGACTGTTCAGCTTAATCCTTTAGGCCGTGTTACTGAAACCTTTTATTAGCTTTGTGTTTCATCTGCTTAGTCTAAGCAATGGCTCTTTGATAGTGTAGCTTCACTGTGTGTGTGTGTGTGTGTGTGTGTGTGTGTGTGTGTGTGTGT